AGAAGAACAGCTACATTCCCCAGGGGGCTTTGCGGTCAGCAAGGAGATGTAACTCCCAGCAAGGTCACTTGGTGTTCTCTTCTTTGCCTGCTCTTCTTCTCCTGCGCTTCTCCGTCTGCTCGTCTCCATCTGCTTTTCTTCATCTGCTCAACTGGACTGCACTTCTCACCTCAGCGTTGTGGTGAGGCCTATCCACCTTTCGCACACACTCTCTCTCTCTCTCTCTCTCATTATATTTTGCTGATACTATATTTAGTAAATTAGTTTGTTTCACCTCAGATCGTTGCTGCTGTTTTCAATTATTTTGGGTCCCCTGTTTCCCTTTTCCGGAGGTGTGGATCTGCGGATCCCTCTGCCCCGCTGGTCACGGAACCGGGCCGAACCAGCCCGTAAACCGTTGACACTAAGTATCCTTGCCTTCTGTGACTCACCTTGCTTATCCTGATCCATGATGCTTTATTGTCTCCTCCTGTTATATATATGGCCACAGTACTAAGGGGTGGCACGGACACTCTACTGGCTGGCTGTTCTCCTGGTAATGTGAGTACCTGTGGAGAGCGTGATTGAGACCTGGCTGGCTGAGAAAGGCCACACAGACAGTATTCGGCTAGTGAGACGTGAGTCCTTGAGCAATGTAGCAGGATGTAAACAAGGCTAACGAGGAGAGAGTCCTTGAGCAAACTAACAGGATGTGTAGGAAGGTAGGAGAATGTAGAAATAAGAAAGATGTATGGCATGGTCTAATCACAAAAAGTACAAAGAAGGGCTGGGGCAACAAGTAGCTGAAGAGCCTATCAGGAGCTCGGGCTTTGCAATGTGTATGAGCTTCATTAGCGCCAACATAAATGCACGCAACCTTCTGATTAAAGTTGAGACTTTCTGATCAATTCTGTGGTCGTGTGTTTGTCTCCCACCGAGCTCCGACAAGTACCTCTCTCATAAACTGCTGAATATTAACTTGCCTCTGAGTACTTTCTTCAGGATTGGTAAACCTTATGCAGAAGTGCTGGCGCTTTTGCATAGCAATTGGTGTAGTCAGCAGGTCCTGAGGAAAGTAATGCTGGCAAAGAGGAGGAAATTCCAGCTCTTCTGGAGGAAATCCCAGGGTGTAGACGGAGCTCCATGTGGTATGTGGTCGCCCAAGTAATAGAGAAATGGGGACTGCCACAAGAGTACAGGGACACTCTGAAATTGGCAAAGGAAGTGTCTGCAATTTTAGAAATAGGGGATACCAGCAGAGTCAAGAAAGGAGGACACACAATTAGATTGCATCCAAGTTCTCCTTGTGGGAATCAAATGTTGTTTCTGCATTAGAATTGGATAATATTTTTATTTCATGAACTCTGTTGTCAT